ATCCCTGCTAGAATCACTCCACAATCAGAGTTGTTAGGGTGGCTGTGCAACTTTGATACACCCCTCCCCCAAATACAGAGGTGGCTGGTGCCCATTGGGACTGCGGGGGGGGGGAGAGAAGATAAGGAGGCCAAAAGTAGGTGGAGCAAGCGCCAATCACAGGTGGAGCCAACTAATTTCAGGTTTGTTCCCATCCTCCTCTCTGCTGGAGGACAATACTGCAAGGACAATACTGAGACTAAAGAAGAGGAAGCTGGCAGCCAAGGGTACCTCCTGGACTGGATGCCATTAAGAAGACAGACAGGTGGGAGCTGGCAGACTGACCAGTCTCTACTGCCTACATATCCGGTCCATTTATGTCAATGAGCTTAACACAAACTAATGACTGAAAATTCAGACGGAAAGGATGTTAGACAGCAAGTTATATACATGATGTTGCTCCTATAAGCAATAGAAAAGGAGAAGTGGAACTGCAACATGATGTTGCAGTGGGGGGGGGGCGATGAGTCGTTCCTGTGCACGGTTTCCCAGAGTGCTTCATTCCATTCTTCTACCCTATGCAGTTTTTTTGTTTTCCCGCCAACAGGCAATTGGCATTATGAGCATGCTCTGCCTGAATTGGGCTGTTGACCGACCCCCCCACATATTGACTTCCCCCTAAAGATTTGTGGGCGGTTTAAATATATAATTCTGCAAATATTGGAGTTCCCCAAGCCCACTCATACTTCCTGCTTATGTGTGGCTAGTTGCCATTTTGACAGCAAAAGGATAGCGCTTGGAGAATTGAGCCAATGCGTTTGTGCAGATGTAGATAGAGGTAAGGGACGCGGGTGGCGCTGTGGGTGCGCTCCCGTTGTTCGGTCCCAGTGCCTGCCAACCTAGCAGTTCGAAAGCACTCCCGGGTGCAAGTAGATAAATAGGGACCGCTTACTAGCGGGAAGGTAAACAGTGTTTCCGTGTGTGGCTCTGGCTCGCCAGAGCAGCGATGTCACGCTGGCCACGTGACCCGGAAGTGTCTCCGGACAGCACTGGCCCCCGGCCTCTTGAGTGAGATGGGCGCACAACCCTAGAGTCTGTCAAGACTGGCCCGTACGGGCAGGGGTACACTTTACCTTTACCTAGATAGAGGTATGATATATCATCATGCAGAATGAGTCGGATCATTCTGTCTCACTCCAACCTTCCGCCACACTCCAGTGTGATCAAGAAACAGAGCACAGAGTTGGAACTATTCAGATAGGAGTTGGCTTGAATTTTGGAGGGGTTACATTCAATTCTATGGAACACAAACACTGCTAATCAACTTCTGTTTGGTGTAGTGTTGGCCTGACAGCTTACAGATTTCTTTCTGGCCAAATACTATTTTTGGTGTCCCATATAATAAGTATACCTTGTACTTCCACAGATCGAATTGGTTGAGTAGGCAGCTACGTTCAGCTTTACAAGTGCCATTTAATACCTGTTCCACATTTGCTAGGAGTCAACCTTTCAGTGTGGCAGCAGCTATGCTTTGGAATGCCTTGTCTATTACGATTAGGCTGCCACCCTCGCTTTTTTTTAAGATGCCTGCTAAATACTCATTTACCTCAGACAGGCTATATGGACGTATACTTCAGTTATGCACACTTGGTTCTAACATTTTCTAACTTTAACTTTGTTTTATTGATTATTGTTTCATATTGTTTTATGTATACATCTTAGGGTTTTTTTAATTAAGCAGTTTATACACCTTTCTAAATAGATAAAAATAATTGTTCTTATGGATATCATCAAAACTTTAAGTGATAGCCTAATTTTGGTTAAATCATATATTTTGCCTCCTTCAAGCTAGCAGTGTTGCATTTCTCCTCTTACTGACACCTGCTGAAAACATTCCTTTGAGAAGATCAGTTGGGAATCCATGGGAATGATTTAATAGTTTTAAGTTTTATACTTCAAAGGGGTTACAAGAATGACTGAGATATGGATTTCAAATTTATTAGAAACTCCTTGTCATTCCCTTCACTGTGACTGTCTGGTAAGAGTGACCTTCCTCTTAACCCCTTCTTCTTGCGCTGACAAAGTAATTTGAAATAGAAACAAACAGTGTAATCTATCAGGAAAAAAACTGGAGTTGCTTCTGTGCATCAGATATTTCTGTTTGAGCTCTCTCCTACTGACAAGCCACGGAAAGAGTCGCTGTTCCTCAGTGGTTTTATCTTAGGGGTTCGTGTCTTTCTTGCTCATTAAGACTGTCTCTAAAGATTACAGTGCAAATAGTGCCTCTCTACCAGACTGTGAGAAAAGTCTCCTTGAGTACATAAAACAAAACTGAGGTTTCTATCACACAATGAAGAGCTCAGATGCTATCCCATTTTTAACACTGCTCAATTACTTAGAGCAAAGGCCCAGGAAGGAAGAAAAGGAGCTAAGTCTGCAATCCTGTGTACACATTTATTTGGGAGAGAGCACACTGAACACAGAAGCTTACTCCCAGGTAAGTGTGTATTGGTCAGGAATGGATAATGTGGCATCCTTCAGATGGTGTTGGACTATAAATCCCGTCTTCCCTGACCACCGGCCATGCTGGCTGGGGCTGATGAGAATGGCAGTCCCGCAACATCTGGAAGGCACTACAATGGCTACCCTGACACAGGCCACAGTTCAGGGGTAGAGCACAAGCTGGAGGTCTCAGGTTCAATTCCAGCAGCTTGTGATATGAAATGCCTTCAGCCTGAGGACACCAGAGAGCCATTGCCAGTAAGTAGACAACACTTGGGCAGATGGCCTGATGTAAGATAGTTTCCTATATTCCTAATGAGATTTGCTTGCAAGTAAAGGCAGTTGTTTGCATCCATCTGTCTCAAGAGACAATGGAGTGTGCCTAGAGGGGGTGAACTCAAACTGCTGTGTTAGCAGCACCAAAGTGACCTCCCCTGGGTGCAAGCCTGGGCAGTGTGTATGGAGGTCCTGGGCTGCCCAGGTGACAAGACCCTCCTCTTAACCCCGTTGATGTGGTCCAAGGGAAAGCAGAGCAATACATTTGGTACCGGCTTGCATAGGCGCCGACTCCATGGGGCCTGAGGGGGCTCGAGCCCCCTCAAAAAAATTTTGGGGGGGGCTCAGCCCCCCCAATAATCTCGGGCGCCCTTCCAGCAGAGCGCCGCCGCCGTCCCCCGCCTCCTCCCCACCTGCTCCCTCGCCAGCCAGCCAGCCAGCCGCGCGCCCTAGTCGGAGAGCCCCGGCCGTCCCCCGCGAGATTAGGGAATCCCCGGGGGCGGGGGCTCCTCCCTCGCTGCTTCGCAGCACCACCGCCACTGCCAAGGCACTGCCGGGGGGAATTTCCTTCCTCTTGGCGGTTTCAGCCCCCGCGAGAACAGGGGAATCCCGACTGGCCACACCTCCCAGCCAGCCAATCGGCTGGCTGGGGGGGCGTGGCTTGCCCTATTTAGGGCCGGAGCCACTTTATTTGCATATTCATGAGCTTATTTATTATTCATGAGCTTTCCCGGGCCCCCCCAATATTTTTTATAAGTCCACGTCCCTGCCGGCTTGGCTGCGGGAGCTGCTGAAAGGAGACATTCAAGGCGCTGCCTAAGCATCTTAGGGACTCCACTCTAGATTTCTATAGGGTTTACTCCTTGGCCTTTTCTTCTTCCGAAGAAATCCTGCAAGGCAGGAAGTTTCCTTTTTCTAGATGCGCTACCTTCCCAGGTCGATGAGCCCCGAATGTCCCTCACTTCCCTTGACAGCACATGCAGAAACTGCCTGCTTGACCGTTGGACCCACTACAGTGGTACCTCGGGTTACATACGCTTCAGGTTACAGACTCCGCTAACCCAGAAATAGTACCTTGGGTTAAGAACTTTGCTTCAGGGTGAGAACAGAAATCGTGCTCCGGCGGCGCGGCAGCAGTGGGAGGCCCCATTAGCTAAAGTGGTGCTTCAGGTTAAGAACAGTTTCAGGTTAAGAACAGACCTCTGGAATGAATTAAGTACTTAACCCGAGGTACCACTGTATTAGTCTTATCTGCTCAATATGCGGGAGCCTGTCTTTACATGCAGGGGAAGTCCCTAACTCACTGAGGGTTTGAGACCCATTGGCTGCCCTCACCTGGTTTAGCAGGCCTGTCCAAGTCATTCCCAGAGTGTGGCTGCTGTTGGATGCTGACAGCTTCTAGGAGCCACAGGTTCGAGCTGAGTTCAGGGTGGAGACCAAAGGTGGGCAAAGTACCCCAGAAGGAGCACAAACGTCCCTCACCAGAGCTATTACCCCACCCGTAACACCCCAGTAAAGGAAATGTGCTTCTTAACGCCAGTTGCTGGAAGGAGCAAGAGAGGAAGAGTGCTATTGTGTTCGGTTCTGGATTGAAACTTCCTGTAGGCATCTGGTTAGCCACTGTAAGACCAGAATGCTGGACGAAATGGGCGACAAGCTCTTATGTTTATAGAATCTGGCTTTTAGCTTGTCGCCTGCCAATGGGAACGCAACCTGTGTGATGTGACCTCCCAGCTGTTAGCTCAGCGGTTGGGAACCTTTGGTCCTCTACTTGTTGCTGAACTACTTCTGAAATAAAATTAAACTGAACTCTTCTGACTCAGTCTCTGGTGCCTACTTATTGTCTGAATCTTATCTTCTGACTTTGTTTCCATATCTTTTCCAACACTTTCTTTTAGTCTTATGCAGGTCTATCATATGCAGGTCTACTCAGAAGCAAGCTGCACAGATCTCAGCGGTGCTTACTCCCACATAGATGTGGATGGTAGCTTTGTTATATATATTTTAACATGTTCTGGCATGGTTATGATACTAGCTTTCGCACACAGCCTTCTGTACTATTTTGAAAGGGCAGGATAAAAGTTTTAAACGAATAAAGCTTATTGGTTCCATTGCTTATATAATTTTGGACACATTCTCCCCAACTATAATCCAGTTTTAATAGCAAGAGAGAAGACAGAAAAAATGTAATGTTTAACTGAAGATAAACAGTTTCTGCAACATATAATTATGTCATTACTTACCAGCTTCAAAAGCGCTGGGAATTTTAATCAGAACTGGGATTTTCTCAATATCCATGCCTTCTTCATCTTCATTTGAACCTGAATCTGGCTGAGAACCTATCTTGGGCTGAACATGGAATATTTATTTTTAAAGTCACTCAAAAGCCATTGCACAGTTAAATTAAAGGAACCTTTTAATTAAACTGCATCTTTTGGTTGACCAGGATGGTAACTAACATAAATCTAAACATCTTAATCATCATGAAATATGTCAGTTATGAATAATATGAATTGTGATACCATTCTTTACACAAAAATACCTTTCTCGCACACAGGAACATTCTGAGAAATCTCACGCTAGAAAGACCCAGACTTAGCTTACACTATAAAGGCAGTGACTCCTCCTAAACTGCAGAAATTTCTAATAAAATAATGAGTTTGGTATCAGCAATTTTATAAACACAACCTGATTATGGGAAGGGACTTGGCTCAGTGGTAGAAGAAATGCTTCAGAGGCACAAGGCTCTAGGTAAAGTCCTTGGCATCTCCAGGAATAAGGAGATAGGAAATACCTCCTCTGCCTGAGAGCCTGGATAGTTGCTGTCAGTCAGAGTAGACAATGCTGGGCTGACCTAGTATAAGGCAGTTTCCTATAAGCACATAGCTTGGGGGGCAGCACACACATTTTACAAGTGGAACGTCCCTCATTCACACCTGGGCATCTCTACTTAAAAGAAGCTTAGTGGGTGCTTGAATGATGGAATGGAAAATTCGATACCTGACAGTGCTGTGGTACTAAGCTAGGCTATGTACATTATTGCAGATATTAATATTGCACAGCATGAAGCAACTGGATGCATAAAAGCTGACCCCTTTTGGAAGGCAAATGATTCAAAGCTTTACTAACCAGAACTTCTGCAAAACACATACAAAAACGATCAATGATACACCCAGATAATTCCATAAAACATATGCTTATCTAAGTATAGGTTCTTCTTCTAAAGTATATAACATAATTACGACCGGAGCAAAAATCAAAGCTCTCTCTCCCATAGCTTGCATTAGCCTGCATCCAGCCTAAGGCTATGCAGCTCCTGGAGAGGCTTCATTATCACAAGGTTCCTCTGACTGTGGACAAAAGGCAAAGGCAACTCCCTTTCAAAATGGAGATTTGCAATTGAATGTCTTAATCACATGATCTAAGGTTAAACACTCATGTATAAGCTAGGAGAATATCAATAGTTAATTATCAACCTGTTACAGCTCAGAGAGCTTCAGTATGCTTCAATTAGGGTTGCCATATGTCCAGATTTTCCCGGAGATGTCCTCTTTTTCAGGCTTAACAATTCTGTCTAGGTGGATTTTTAGAATTCGACAAAATTTTGCGGGTGTTTTTTTTCTTCCTTAGTTGCCCCCCCCCTGCTTCCTTTTGCTCTGGTTGCTGAGTGATGTGAGGCAAGGAGGCTCTCACTTTGCCTGGATTGCCTGCCTTGCCCCTCTCTCTGTCTCTCCTCCTTCCCACATTTCCCCCACCCTGTCCCCTCCTTTGCTGGAGCATCTGCTGGGCAATGAGGGTCTGCTGGTGAGATGGCGGTAGTGGCTGGGGCTAGGCTGGGCACAGACCTGGCGGAGGGGAGGGGAAGGAAGCAAGGTGAATCGAGGCCCGGGACTGAAGCAACGGCTCCCTCCAGATTGCACTCCCGATTTCCTCCTTCCTGCTCCCTCCCTCCTTCTTTTCCTCCCTCCCTTCTTTTTTAATATGATACCTCTCCTCTGCATCCAAACCCCGCCCCCGACGCTTTTAATTTTCATGGAGTCTTTTTCTCTTGGGTGTCCTCTTTTTTGCTCTTCAAAATATGGCAACCCTAGCTTCAACTGAATTTTCATACATACAGGCATTCTCCATTTCAGTGTGAACTAAACAACTATACATAACACGCCCCCCATTTAAAGCACCCTGTCACCTTGATAATCCTGGGAACTATCATTTACCCTTCAGTTTCCAGCACCTTTAAGAAACTAGTTTCCAGGATTCGTGTGTGTGTGTGTGTGTGTGCTTTAAATGCACTTTAAATATATGGTGTATATCAGGCTTCCTCAACCTCGGCCCTCCAGATGTTTTGAGACTACAATTCCCATCACCCCGACCACTGGTCCTGCTAGCTAGGGATCATGGGAGTTGTAGGCCAAAAACATCTGGAGGGCCGAGGTTGAGGAAGCCTGGTATATATGCAGCCCTAGTTGGACTAATGATGTGATTCAGTAACAACATATTTTGTTCACATAAAAAAGGACAGTGTGTGTTCATTTGTGTGTGCCTGCAGGCATCTATCAATGCTTATGATGCACACAAACTGTCCAAAGGAACCAGCAGTTTTGTTCACCATCTTATATATACACAACTAATAAAATTATAAATATAAATTATCTTTCAAGTTATGAGCCCAAGTTCAGAATCCCCTCCTGGATCAGGAGCTCTGTGGGCAAAGGGGGATTGTGTACAGGCTGCTGCCAAAGCCGTATCACCTTTGAGAGGGCCTGTTTACCTGTTTGGAATGTGTGGGCAGGTGTGAGGAGAAGTACACTGAAGCGAAGCAACATATATTATAGACACACATCAAACTACTTACCAGAGGAGCATACTGCATATATAAGCTGCTCGTAAATGAAGCCAATTTGCCTGTAGGGTGCTGGATGTGCAGAGGAGGAGCTGTCTGGAAGGAGCATAGGAGACAGGGTAAGCGTTTCTGTTATTTATAAACCATGGCCAGTGCTGTTCACAGTACTTTCAATGTTATGGTTTGCCAACCCAGTTCAGAAATCATGGTTTCATGAGCCCTTACGGCTCTGGCCCTAACCACGACTGGCATCTGATTCCCCACCCTACCCAGATCACCCCCAAGTAAATGCAGTCCTTAACAATATATATATATATATATATCCCTCACCCCTGCCAACACCTGAGGTTTGAAAGAGGGGATTCCCTCCATTAACCGTTTTTTAAAAAACAAGTTCCTTACAGGGCAGCAGGAGAGGGCCTCAGCCAACCGTCAACTTAATTTCCCAGAGGCATCTAAACATGTGAATTAGCATATGCAAATTTTATGCAAAATTTCTGACCACGCCCCAAGTTTTTAAGTACGGTACCTAAAAAGTGTCTGCCCTTAGTGGCTGCTTATCTGAATGTACCTTATCAGCCAGCGAAGGGCGTCTAAATTTTGCTGATTGACGCAATGATTGTCTAAGAAACATCTCGTCCTTAATGGCATGTAGGCTAGAAGATAAATGGGAATGTTTAAATTGTATTTTTTAAATTAAAGGCAGTTTCAAAAAAAACAAACAAAACCCAAACAAAATCAAACAAAAAACAAAAACCCAAACATTTATTTTCAAACAAGGCTAAAGCTGGGACCCAAAGAGCTACAGAAGCCTCTATGTACCCAATGGGAATTTTGACTCCCTTTAACCAGCAGACGCTTCCTAGTGCCAGTTATGCAATACGGATGATGTACAATAGATTTTTTCATTATCTTCTTGTGGAAGCTTCATTTACATGAATTAAGGTTATACAGTGGTACCTCGGTTTAAGAACAGTCCTGTTTACGAACGATTCGGTTTATGAATTCTGCAAAACCGGAAGTAGTGTCCCAGTTTGCAAACTTTACCTCAGTCTATGAATGGAATCTGAAAGGTGGAAGGGTACCGGCAGCGGGAAGCCTCATTAGGGAAAGTGCGCCTTGGTTTAAGAACGGACTTCCGGAATGGATTAAGTTCGTAAACCAAGGTACCACTGTATATGGCTAGTTGCACCAATATCCACTTAACAGTTTCTCTCTCGCACCTGTAAGTATTAGCAGCAGAAGTTCAGATCCAGACCAAATTGCTCCTACTTCCTATTGAAATCGATGGGATTTAGATTAAATCATAACTAATTTCCCATCAATTTCAGCGGGACTAGATTCAATTAACATAGTTCTGGATCCAATCCAAAATATATATTTATGTTAACCGTATGATCCAGACATATGCAAAAGTATGTTTCCACTGAAATCAATGGATCTGAGAAATGTTTAACTGTGGGTAGAGAGTGCCCACTGTTGTTTGCATAGGATCAAAGTATTGTAGTTAGAAGGGAGCTGAAGGCTCACCTAGACCAACCCCCTACAATGTGGGAATGATGGCTAAAGAATCTCTGACAGATGGCCATCCAATCTCTCTTTAAGGAACTCCAGTGAAGGAGAGCCAACCACCTTCCAAGGGTATCTGTTCCACTGTCACACAGCTCTTCCTGTCAGAAAACTCTTTCTATCCTTCACTTGGAATCTCCTTTCTTGTAATTTGAAACCATTGGTTCAGGACCTTCCCTTTGGAGCAGCAGAAAACAAGCTTGCTCCATCTTCCATGTGGCAGCCCTTCAGTTTTGAAGATGGCTGTCCTATCACCTCTCAGTCTTCTCTTCTCCAGGCTTAACATGCCCAGCTCCCTCAACTGTTCCTCATAAGGCTTGGTTTCCAGACCTTTTATCATCTTGGATGTAATAATACCTTTTCTTTAGAATTTCAAACTTCATTTCCCAAGATCGACTCGATTTACTGAACTCCTGTTCAAGTCTACACAGAGAGGAAAAAATAGCATTGGTATGTTTTGTGAGTGTGGAAGTTAACAAATCTTATAATATATGTGACAAATCCTTGTGTACACAGCAAAGTCTTGTGCATATACCTCTTTACGCGCAGCTTGGCATCTCGTTCAGATTTTCTAAGCCTCTTTATCTCTTCTTGTAAGGCTTTTTTCTCATCTCCCTGTACAAGTGTATTACAAAAGAGAGCCATACATTAATTACCACTGTATACTAAACACACACACACACACACACACAATGATAATAGTTGGCCACTGCTATTAATTTTCAATCCATCAATCTCAATTTTTCTATAGCAATATATTCTAAATTATCTTGCAATGACAAATATACTATATATTTTGGAAAGTGGTTTGCCTGCCTGACCATTTCTTCTCTGTAGGGTCAGCCACCTCTCAAGATATCATTGCCAAACTTAGCATGAGGGTTCCTCTGCAGAGGGAGAAAAATGCTCTGTCTAGAGGAAGCACTGAGAATCTATACTGCCAGTGGCGTAGCGTGGTGGGTGCAGGGGGGGCTGGCCGCACTGGGCGCAACACCTGGGGGTTAGGGTTAGGGGGCACAAATCCACGGGTTAGGGGGCGCAAATTACTTGCCTTGCCCCGGGTGCTGACAACCCACGCTACGCCACTGTATACTGCTTTATCCGGCCAACTTGGGAGAACCCTACTAGCAAAGGATCAGGGAGCCCGCTTGCAAAGGAACAATCGGAAACTCACTTTAAGTTCTTGGTTGTTCCTGTGGGATGGGTGGGCATGGCTTGTGGGGAAGGGCATCACATGTCAAATTGAGACTTGGGCCAGACCAAATTAGGCCCACAAGCCAAAGTTTCCCAAGTAGCAAAATAGCAGGGAATCTTTTGTAAAGATTTGACAACATCATCATCTGGATTCTCCATAAAAACTGACTGGACGTAGGATTGCAACCCCTGAGCAAAGGGCTAGAATGGGCACAACCAGTATGTCTTGGTCTATCTGTCCTGAAAGTCGAAGAAGGAAAGCACGGGCAGTAAAAATCTCAACAAAAGCATGCTTGTGTTCTTGAGGAAGCATCCAGATGTGGTGCTCTTCTTAAGGATGGTAGTGAGATGAGGTGTGTGGGTTACCCCAGCTGTTTTGGACACACGACGGATGAAAAATATCAGGTGAGGATGCAGGTGTCCTTCTGCTGGAAGTGTCATTAAAAAAAACAAACCACGACTCTCACCTTTATATGGCCTGGTGTCTATTCCCCCAAGTTATGTTAGATCAGAGTAATAAAGCAATACCTTATCACCAAGACCTACCAACAATTCTGCTTCTTTTGCTGCAGCTTGTCTGGCCTCTTTGGTGGCGGTGGCAGCGGCAACGGCAGCAAAGACAGCAGCAGCTTTTACTACTTTCCCTTTCAGTCCTTTCCTTCCCTTCTTTGGTAGCTTTCCTTCTTGCACTGAGGGCACCTGTGAAAAAATAACAACAGCGATAAACGAACCTGAGTTATTGTTGCGCACTTTGGACATCACACTTGGAACACCTTGTCTCAGAGGGATCCCCCTCCCCACTGAGATCCATTGTCTTCCTGCTCTGCAAACAGGGAGTATGGCAGGTAGGCATGAGCAGCAGGGCCTTTTCCATGGTGTTGTTCAGAATCAGGAATGCCCTCCCAAGGGAAGCCCAGCTGGCCTTCTCTGAATTGACATGTATAGGGTTGTGCTGAAAGCTACTGGAGAATACAGAACACATCTATTTGTATTTTGTTTTGGTATTGAATTATATTTTACACCACTTAATATACAGAATCTCTAAGTAGTTTACATTAAAAAAAAATCTAATGTATGTAAGCACACACAGACAATACAGAAATTTATCAATAAAGCAACAAATAGCATTTATATGGACATTGTCTTAAAGTTTTAACAACATGCATCAAACACGCATGTCAGGGCCGCCTCAGGTCCCAGCTCACAAGAGACCAACGCCAAGTCCACTTTATTTACAAAAGTCTTTATTGAAGTACATTGTTTGTTCCACAGCCGAGGCGCGCAGCCCCACGTCTGTTACGCTTAGACCGCTGAAGTCCCCTCTGAATCAGTCCCGCCTCTACACCAGTTTAAGAGGCTTGTGCTAGTCCACCTCTTCCTGTCCTTCCTTTTCCGCAGGGTCTTTCTGCCCCCCTGCGTTCCTTCCCTCCTGCTTTCCCCTGACGCTGAATCCCCAGACAGCTCTTCCCCCCTCCTCCGTGCTTTGGGACCAGGCTCCTCCTCTGGGCTCTCCGCATTTCCGCGCGCCTCCACATTTGAACTTGGCGCGCGTTCGCTACCCCTGACCTTCCTCTTGACAGTTATACTACTCTCTGTACTACTCTCCGCCCCTTCCGGCAGGACGTCTTGCCCCGATCTCCTTCCCCTCTCTGCTTCCTGCTCTGCTCCGTGTGTCACACTGGGAACTCCACCCTCTTCACTCCGTTCCGGCTGGGAAGCCGGCCCCGATCTCCCACTCCCACTCGGGGTTTCCCTGCTGCTCCCCTGCTCCTGACGAGTCCCCCCTGTGGCTCCCCTTGGCCTGACCAGGGGCGCCCCCTTTTGGGAATCCTCCGATTCACTTGAGAGACTCATGGAAGCCCTCAAGTCATTGTCATCCTCCTCCTCCTCGTTCCTGGATTCTTCCCCCTCGCTCTCAGTCTCCTCCCTCATCTGTGCCTCTCTCCCTGAACCCCTGACAACGCAACTTGAAATTGTCAAGGAAATATGGGCTTGAACTGCATGAGGTATATGAGCTATTTATTTGTACATAGCAGCCCATTTCTGATTTGTCAAGATCCTTAGGCTAGCCTTTTTTGGATAGCGGGCATTGCTCAGAGTTAAACAAAACCGTAAAATTTGTTATTATAAACATGTGAGAAACTCTCAGGTAGGTTAAGAACTGGTCCTTAGGTGAATGAGATTATTATATCATATTTCAAACCCATTTCTTTTTCTTAAATATATAATCAGTTTTCAGTAGTTAGCGGAAAGTAAGATTTTCATTAGAGGTGACAGAACTTTCTGCGAAACGCAGGAATCCTGTTGTGCTTTTTTTATATCTTCATGTTTTTTAAAAAGAGCAAATTTCCTTGCGCAAACACAACTCAGATATATACAAATACAAGGCTTTGCAAACCTTTTGAAATGGCTGCAGGTGCCCTCCACTGTATCTGCCTACAATTCAAGCGACTTCGCCAAATCTGTGTTAGATGATAAATATTGAACAAGGTGCATATGTGCTTAACAGTAATTGTATTCTATTTTCTCTCATGCTGCTTTATGAAGCTTGTTGGATGCCTTCCAGTATGCCTCTGAATACCAGCCAAAATTACCCAGATAGATAGTGCTATTTGCTGACTTATTCACATAAAGGCCACAGTAGCAATGGACATAATCAGCAAATTCAGCAGGGATGCCAGGGTGCGGGGAGAGCGGCCCAGGGACTCTGAGGTTCTGATCGGAACCAATACTTTTTTCTTGATATAACAGCGAAAGAGGTGAGTGCAACCCATACCTTATCCTATTTCCTGTTACTAGTATATTATTTCTTTGGGGTTAAAGATTGCCCTCCTCTTCACAATTGGTACACAGCAGTGATGAAGACCCACACAGTCAGTTCTGCATACATGGTTGAGAAATTTTCACACTCCTGAGCTTTGCGAGACCCAACCATAGGGAAGCTTCTGCCATGCTGCCACGCGTGTGCATGAAGTGGGCTTCAGCCCAGCAATCCTAATCTGTTCATCATTCAGGTGCTTCCAGACCAGCCTTTGCCAACATGGTGACGTCCAGATGTCTTGGACTGCAGCTCCCAACTGCTGAAACATCTGGAGGGCAGCAGGCTGGCAAAGGCTGATCTAGACAGAGGGGAATCAGTTCCCTGATCTAGGAATCGACAAGCAGGTTACACCAGGCCAATCATGCTAGCCCCATTGCTGTGCAACAGCAGGTAGTGCCAATTATTTCTAGGTGATGCTTGCAACAAGGAATGGTTCCTTGCAGCATCTATATTATTCAAGAATATGGCATTCATGTAGTAGTGAAATTTTGTATCAAGCTAACTTTTAGAGTAAACCCATTGAAATTAATGGACCTAAGTCAGTTATGGTGACTAATTTGAATGGGTCGACTCTTGAGTATGACTAATGTCGGATACGAGCTAGTGCTCCTTTTCAAGTTATTAATGATAATTTAAAGCATTGCAAGTCGACCATTAAATTCATTATAAGGATGGTGTAATCTAATAATGGAATGCTCTGCCCCATAATTTTATTATGGCCTCATAATATATTTCTTACTTTGAAACTGTTCAGGCGGCATTGCCTCAGCATTATCTGATCAATGTTATCACTTTCCTTTCACTTCCACTCACACCTTCTGCTCCAGTTTTCCTTGCAGCTCTCACTTCCGGCCCTGGATAGACAACCCCACTCAGAACACAGTCACCAGATCAGCAGCCATGGCCACTTCTCAGGGATGGCCCTCACTAGGACCAGGGAGACCAGAGTTTGAATCCCCACTCTGCCATTAAGCTCTCACTAGGTGGCCTTGGGCCAGTCACTGTCCCTCTGACTAATCTACCTCCCAGGGTCATGTGAGGATTAATTGAGGAGGGGGAGGACCATGTATTCCACCTTGAGATCCTTAGGGGATATAAAAGGTGGGATATATGTAATAATATATACATGCATAAATAAAAAAAAAATCCCAACAGGACGGCTAGGATCCAAAAAAGCTACTTTAGGAGCACCCAAATGGTTTGGTCATGCCCAGTAGGATTTTTTGATTCCCAGTTCCTTTAAACAGCAGCCTCCTTGAACCCCTCTCTCATATCATATAAGAAACTTTTTTTTAGTTTCCTATTTATTCTTACTGATTTATTTACCAGGATTTATATACCGCTGAATCATCAAAAGCTCTAAGCAGTTTTGGTGTAATGGTTAGAGTGTTGGACTATGACCTGAAAGACCAGAGTTTGAATCCCTACTCTGCCGTGACGCTCACTGGGTGACCTTAGGACAGTCACCATCACTTAGCTTAAACCACCTCAACAGGGTTGTTGTAAGGGGATGAAATGGGGCGAAGGAGAAGAACCATGTACACCACCTTGACATGGTTGGGAGATAAAGGTGGTATATAAATAAAATAAATAATAAGGTAATAAAATATACATCAAGATTTCATAACAATATGAGCTTTGCCATGTGGTATGGTGGAGCTGTTTCAGAAATATAAACCCGAGGCTCCCTTCAGCTTACTGTCCTTCGGATCCTGGCCACGATGTTCTACTTTTTAAACTCTCCTTTTTGCAGGGGTAGCCAACATGGTGCCCCCCGCAGTGTTGCCGAACTACAATTCCCATAATCCCAATGGAAACTGACAGTTGTGGCAAATACATGTTGGAACAGAAATTTCTGCTTTCCTACACCCCTAGTTGGGACGCGGGTGGTACTGTGGGTTAAACCACAGAGCCTAGGACTTGCCGATCAGAAGGTCAGCGGTTCGAATCCCCGCGACGGGGTGAGCTCCCATTGCTCGGTCCCTGCTCCTGCCAGCCTAACAGTTCGAAATCATGTCAAAAGTGCAAGTAGATAAATAGGTACCGCTCCGGCAGGAAGGTAAACGGTGTTTCCGTGCGCTGCTCTGGTTCGCCAGAAGCGGCTTTGTCATGCTGGCCACATGACCCGGAAGCTGTCTGCGGACAAACGCCAGCTCCCTCAGCCTATATAGTGAGATGAGCACACAACCCCAGAGTCGGTCACGACTGGACCTAATGGTCAGGGGTACACCCCTAGCTACGGATGAGCCACACTTCCAAGTTTCCAGCTGTCACTACCATCTCTTTGCTCTGTTGGTTGGTCTAAAAATATTAATCACATAGATTCCCTCCCCCCAAAAATTAACCCTTTGGACCCTATCCAGGGAAAGTTAGTGATGCTTAAGTCCTACTGAAATCCACACAGCGAGTGAGTTAAGACTCACTTAAGCCATATTACTTTCAGTGGGCTTTATACTTTATCAGCTGGTGATCCTGCAGGGTAATTTATTGGGGAACAGTTTTTAAGGGATTAATGACACTGATGCATGGGGTTACTAGCTTGCCTCCTAAAGCACAGCAAACAGAAAGCTTGATAACACACTGCATTTTATATTTATCAGTACAAACTACAGATATTTTGAAACTATTTGCACATTATAATTAACTGGTCATATTTCTGTCCTTTCTTCTGGAACAGTTTTTAGAATCAGCTAATCTCAGCATGTGCGGCTTTCCCACTGAATGTCACACTTCCCCAAATATCAGTTTGATTAATAAAGGAAGTCAAATACCTTTTGCGGGCAATACAGCTTCAAAGAGCCAGGGAGATTTATAAATGAATTTAGATGTTAACTTTTGAGTACTTGGCTTGCTGAGTGCCACTATTTGAAGTTTGAGGAAGATGTAAGGTAACAATAACCTTTAGTCAGTGTTTATCAGCTCTAAATTCACCCTGTCTTTTGTGAAGGAATATAAAAGTAACATTTTGTTATTTAAAAGGCACCCACTGCATCCACCTTTTAAGTTAAGCACCGCTGAGAACATCCAGGGAACAGAGACCACAACAGATAAGGCTCTGAGTCACATGATCTCATGGAGATATTTGTTTTATACTAGGTCAATTGAAAGAAACATGCCTTGTGTACAAAACTATCTTTGGAAACCTCACTAGAGTTTGAGAAGATGAACAATTAAGCAAGAACCTCTCACTTTAAAAATCTAAAAGCAGTGGCATAGTGGTGGTTGTGGGGCCTCACAAATTTCTGAGGGGACACAACCAGACGCCCTGACAACAGGCTCCCTCATCAAGGCTGAAGTCACAGGGAGGCAAACTGTGCCTGGGCCGGGCCTTTGGGGCGGGGGCGGTGCCTCCTCCTCCTTCTCATGGCTGCGAAGAGACACCTGTGCATGCCCTGCCCCTCTGCCAGTTTTGAGGGAGGGAGAGGAAGGGCGCTGCCACCACAGCTGCCCACTGAGGAAAGAGGGAGGAAGAAGAAGGCGGGAAAGCACTGGGCGTTGCCCAGAGTGTCTGACTGCAAGGACAGGAGGATGAGGCGACACAGCGGGGGGGGGGGGCGTGACACCAGTAAGGGACAACAGGGCCACCTCCCACTCATGAAAAATCACGGTTGAAATGTTACTTGTGCTAGCGCCTTTCCCTTGCCACCTAATAAACAACCCTAATAAACAACATTGAGGTTGAGGGGTTGTGAGGCTGTCAAGTTCAGAGGGTGGGGCTTCCAGGGAGTCTTGTGCCTCAGAAGTCTTTAGCACTGGGCTGGCAAGCGAGTCTCATCTGCAGAGGGAACCAAGGGCAAGAGAAGAAGTGCACGCACTGGGGTCCTTCGGTTCCTCATCTCTGCTGAGAAATGCATTCACCAGGCAGACCAATTAACTGAAGGAGACTTGCCTCGCTTTCCCCTCCCTCATGTGGAAGATCCATCTGTCTCCATCCTTTCTTCCATTCCTTCCTTTCCCTTCTCTCCAAGTTTGCCCGCCATTGCGGGGAAGAGGCCCCTGCTGTCTGGCTGTCCCTTATGCAGCTCTGCGTCCCACTGTGTTAGGTTGCATTGCTGCCACTGAGGCAGGCAGCCAAGAATTTGGCTGAAATGGGCCGCGAGTGAATTGCCACAAGGCAGGCTGTGGGCGGTGCCATTTGCAAAGCAGCAACAGTGGAGGCGGCTGAGGAGAAGAGCAACCCTCAGAGAGCAGGCTTTCTCCAACAACTTCTATCACAACACACACACACACACACACTTTTTATTGTAAGATTTTCCATAAGTAACAAAAGCACATTCAGTGTCTCTGTTTTCAAATCACAGAATCCTTCATACATGTCATTTACAGTCAGTTTGAGACATTTTTTGTTGCAGGCAATGTGGAGCTGTGGGAGAAAGAGAGAAGAAAACAGAGAAAGAGAAAAATAGGAGGGTGGAAAGCAGAGGAGGTGAGGGAGACTTTAAACTTTCATTCTTTACATGGTATATGAGCGGAGCTGTTTTAATCAGTGTCGCGTGGATAGGTGTTTTATTTTTTCTGGCAGAGCGAGAGATCAGAGGCCCCAAGGTATGGTTAGTTGCAGGGTGTTCTATTTGCGTGCAAAGATTCCAGCCTGACTGGCATGTGCTGTGCTTTTAGGCAATATTCATTCCAATCCTCTCTCCACCTCCATCTCCCAGCCCAAAAGTCAAGC